CAAAAAAAAAAAAAAAAAAGGAAGAAATTTGCTTGAAAATGGAGGGCAATTCCTTAAAGAACAAGGAGTCTTCTACTACCTCTAAACCAAGGGTGTCAAACGCAAGACCTGTGGGCTGGACTCAACCCAATTGCTTGACCAACCCCATGTGCCAGCCCAAGGCCTGGCCCTGGCCCCATGCACTGCATGGACTAGACTCGATACCACACACCCTGCATGCAGCAGAGGGAGGTGGCCTCAGGCCCACACTGTATGCAAAATCCAACCAAACCAGCCCTATGCACTGACTCTGGGACAAGTCCAGATCAGTCCATGCTGAACCACTATGGTGGGCCAGTTTGGCAGTTCACACTGTATCCCAGCCTCCTGTGCCATATGCAGAGGCAGCCAGTCCAGCCCTACATACCACATGCAGCACGTGCCAACCCTAGCCTGCAAGGAGCTTGCACTGTGTGGATGCACAGGCTGCACCTGGAATTGCACATGGCACAGGCTACATAGGTAACCCTAGACCAACCTCCTGTGCTGCCTGCAGTGCTGCAGGCAGTGCTCATGCTGCCACTGCCTCATGCTGACCTTGCGTGCCACATGCACAGCAACCCCTGGGCCCAGTGCATGCTGCACATGAATTGGACCCATCACTGCAGGCACTGAACAGGTGGTCAGTGCTCCAGCCCGCAGAACAGCCAAGAGACCTTCATCAGGCCTGCAGAGTCAGAAAGGTCTGTCACCCCTACTGTAAACAAATATTTAAGAGTCCTGAAAACGTATTAAGTGGCACAACGAAGACCTTTTAGAAGCATTAAAGGCAAATTCTAATTCTCATTCCAAAGCATCTTCCTGATATTTCCAATACTCTCTTGAAAGGATGTCGGACTAACCTCGCCATACGCATCTTAGGAGATGCTGGATAAACAAGATTTGCTTCATAAGCCAGATTCCCGTCTCATCCCTTTGTATAGTCCCCCAATTTAAATATCTCTTTTTTATTTTTTTATAGCTTTTCAAGGTTGTTTTTGAGATGTACATCTCTGTGACCACATTCAATCCAAAAAAGAAAACTTTGGGAAGAATATTTGAGGAAAGTTAAAATTACAGGACAACTGAAGGCAAAATTGTAGCATC